GGGGCAGAAAGTGAAGATGTCAGCATCTCTCTCCCTCACCCTGCCAGGCTCCTCCTGAGGCGGGGCCCAGCCCCTTCACACAGGTGCCTGGATTCTGTCCATCTGTCAGGGCTCCTGGCGGGGAGGCCCACGTTGCCCAGAGGGTCACGGCGTCCCCTTCAGCTGAGACAGGGGAGGAGGGTGGTCTCAGGAAGGTATCTGAAGGCACGTGCTGGGCAAGACGGGCAGGAGGGCGCTGCTCTCCTGGCATGAGGTCTGCGTGCCCAGCGGGGGCTCTGGGGGGAGGGTGGGCAGTCTGGCCTGGCCTGCAGTGCCAGGACCCACGTTCTGTTTTCTCTCTCGTGGTTCCCGAGGTTCCCGTGTGCTCACCCTCCCCTCCAGCCCTAGTTCTCCACGTGACTATGAAACAGGTGTCAAAAGGGGCAACTTCCATACCCACGAGTGCCCCCAGCCCCTGCAACTCCATTTTCTTACTAGTGTTCCTGACTCGAGTGTGGGCCTGGGGGACACAGTATCTGATCAGCAACCTGCGAACTGGAAAACCAAGTGTAAGGCGGGCGCAGGCACAGGCTGCACGCCTGGCGATCCTTGGAGCATCTCCACTGCTCCCTGCTGGGGGGGTGCCAGGAGGCAGGGCCGGGAGCAGAGAGGGGAGGCCGGGCCGCCAGCCCCTGGGTCCTGGGCTGAGGGGCTGGTCCTAGAGGTGAACCTGCTCACCTGGTGGCTTTGGCTGGCTGCTGGGGGAACGGGGTCCACTGAGGAGCCGAGAAGCTCCCTGAGCCAGTCACGGGGGCTGTGACCGCCTGGGGGACAAGGTGGTGGCAGGACAGGCTCATGGAGAAAGCAGGGCTACGTCCCCAGCTCATCTCCGCCAACCTCCCTGGAAGCATGTCTTTGGTTGGGGACACTGTCCCATGGGCTCCCCCACCCCACCTCCTACAGGGTCAGCATCAGGTCACTGAGTCAGGGCGCCCTGACCTGACCTGGCCCCTCCAGGAGGCAGGCGCCATCCAGTTGCCTCTGAGGTGAGACGTGGCCTGGAAGTGGACCCAGGGCTCTGGGACAGGGCACCGGACTCTTTGGTTTATTGGTTTGGGACTGGGGACAGTTGGGACAGAGGAAGATGGAGACCAAAGGCAGAAAGCCAGGAATGAGACCTCAGGGGAGGGGCTCCCCCCAGCAGGGCCCTGGAGAGCTGATTTCTAGCGGGCAGCGGCGGGATGGGCGATTAGAGCGGGACTGTGGTGCTCGGCGGCGGGGCTCCGGGCTCCACCGCCCCCACTCCCAGGCAGGCCTCCTGGGTGCGCATCAGTTCCCAGGCACGCTGAGGATGAAGCCAGAGCGGTTCTTGGTGAAGTCGGGCTGTGGCTGGTTGAGCCGCGTCTCCACGGAGACCGTGCACTTCTTCCCATGCAGGCTGCACTGCACAGGGTTGGTGACGTTGACTGGGAGGTGGCGCTTCTCACTGGCAGAACCAAGAAGAGAAAGACCAGACAGGCAGTTAGCAGGCAGCCAGTGAGGGGTGGATTTCCCCGGCGACCCCAGGGTCCCCCACTGGCCAAGCTCCCGTGGGCCTCACAGGTGCCCCAGGGGGCATGGCACTGGAGGCCTCAGTGGAGGGCTGGAGAAGCCCCAGGGCGGGGCAAGGACAGGAAAGGCTGGTGCTGGGCTGCAGCCTCAAAGCAGAGCCTCCGCGGGCAGAGGGGCTAAGTTCCGGCCTTGGCCGCACGCAGCCTTGCTCCAGGGAACCCAGCGTGCTGAGCTGGACCACAGGAGGGAGAGACGCAGTGCAACCACAGCCACCAAGTCCCTGGCCTGAGACCAGTCACTTGGGCTTCAGATGTCAGGGGGCTTGTCGTGAGGGGCTGGGGATTCTGATATGCAATTACTTTTCAGTAATCTTTGATTGCAACAGGGAGCCCTGGGAGGCTGTGTCCAGCGTGAATGGAGACTTCCCTGCACACTGTCCCCAATGAGAGGAAGGTCTTCTCAGAGTCCCCGGGGTCCAGCTGTTAGAAAGGGGTCTGACCCCAGTTTTCCCAGGTGTGTCTCAGACTGGGGGGCTGGGGCCTTGAGCACCAGGCTGCTTTGCTAACAGACCCCACCTTGGCCTGGATGGGCGGTGGGGCCACACAAAGCCCGGTGCAGTGGAAGCTCACACGCCTGCCTGGAGCCTGTGCCTCTCGCTGCCTGAAGGGGGCTCAGCCAGGACTCTGGGTGGGATCCACGCCCAGGAGCCGGAGGTGGGGGTTAGTGAGGCTTCGTGCACCTGCTGAGTAGAAGCAGACTCCCATCCTCCAGCTCCTCACACCGCCCTGGATACACTGCAGAAGTGGCTTATTTTAAGACCTGAGAAAGCTGTCAAAGTAGGCTGGCACCTCGTGTCCGCTCACAACAGGCTGCACAGCCCCACACTGTACCTTTGCTTGTGCCACGGCAGCTTTCTTTGTGCTGTGAGGTGAGAGGAGGAAGCCTGATGGCCTGGGGTTTGCAGGTGGGACGCCGGCACTGCTGTGTGTGCCGTGAATGCCAGTGTTTCTCAGGGCATGTCTGGGGCGTGGGCAAGCTGGGCCCCCTGACGCTCTGCTGAGCTCCCTGGATGAATGTCACTCTTGGTGTTAAGCAGTGAATGCCAAGTGTCCGCACCGCAGGGGGAGGGGGGCTGAGGCCGCATGTGCTCCGCTCTTGCCCAGCCCAGTCGTGCTCCATTGGGCCCAGGTGAGCAAGAGGCGCTTTCCAGGCACAATCACTGTCACCTCTTCCTCCCACCCTGACTCTGAGGCAATCATCCTGGCCGCTAGACAGCACTCAGGCGACAGGTGCTGCCAGCCTTAAGACAGAGCACCCGCCCGGGCACGGCTCCGGAGGGTGCCCAGTGCACATGCCCACAGCTGGCCCCCCAGTCTGTGAGGTAATGTGAGGTGTTCTTCTCACACCCGTTTCCTACCTGCTTTCTCATTAAATGTGTTGTAGAGGCAGAAAATGGGCACAGGGAGAGACCCGTAGTTAGTTATTGCTTGTAGGCATCAGGTATCTAATGCTTAATGTCTTGTCAGCTGCAGCTAAAACCTTGGCTTAGACAGCTATTTTTAACCAGACTTGGACATAAAAATAGCAGAGCCCATCCGAGGCTGTGGTGACTCAGGCAGTTCTCTATTCCTGCAGGAGTCAGGCCTGCCGTGCAGGGCAGATGCGTGGCCCATGGCTGCCGGGTCCGGGTGACGGGCCCTGTGGCCCCTGTCCTGGCCAGGAGCAAGCAATGCCCAGCACTGCAGCCCTGCCTGCAGCTGACATGCCTCCGGGACAGGGCTTCCTTCCCCTGCTGGTTCCCAAGCCTGGGCAGCCTCCCACCTCCCTCCGTCAGCCCGGCCCGGCCTCGGGATCCCTCCATGCAGGACTCGCACCCTACAGAAGCCTCTGACCCTGGCCGAGACCTTCCCTTGCCTCCTGGTGGGTGTGCGTCCCTCCTTTAGGGCACTGGCAGGGACAGGCTCTGCCCTCCACTTCCTGCGTCTTCCCTCCCGTCTGTGGAGCCTGGTACACTAGTGTGCACGTGGCGGGTCCCAGAACCACCTGGGGGTTCAGTCTTGGAATGTGGCCCTTTCAGAACCCTTTTCCTAAGTCAGCTGGAAAAATCGAATAGCGAACATGTCAATCGCTAGCCCACCCCCATGTTCATACAATCGGAACACGCTGCTTTCCATACAGTCCTTCTCACTTGAGACTCCTTCGCAGCCGTGAGCTCAGTGTCAGCCCGACACCACCCTTCCTCCTGCTTTTGGCTCTGTGCATCTCCAGCATCTGCTCTACAGTCTTGGTACAGTGTGTTTTGTTTATTTTGTTTTTTAGATTCCACATACAAGTAAAATCGCACAGTATTTGCCTTTGACCTATTTCACTTAGCGTAATACCCTCCAGGGCCATCCATGCAAGATTTCATTCTTTTATGGCTGAGTAATGGTCCATTGTATACACGTACCATGTCTTCACCCATTCATCTACTGATGGGCCCTTCGGCTGCTTCCACATCTAGGCTATTGTAAATAATGCTGCAGTGAACATAGGGGTGCATTTATCTCCCCAAATCAGTGTTTTGGATTTCTTCAGATAAATACCCAGAAGTGGAATTGCTGGGTCATAGGGTAGTTCTATTTTTAATTTTTTGAGGAACCCCCATACTGTTTCCTATGGCTGCACCAATTTACAGTCATTGATGTAGCCACTCTGACAGGTGTGAGGGGATATCTCACTGCGGTTTTGATGCACATTTCCCTCATGATTAATGACGCTGAGCATCTTTTCATATGTCCGTTGGCCATCTGTATGTCCTCCGCTCATTTTTAAAAAGGATTGTTTGCTTTTCTGATAGTCAGTTGTATGATTTCTTTATATATTTTGAATATTAATCCCCTACTGGATATATCATTGATGAATATCTTCTACCATTCAGTAGGTTGTTTTTTTGTTTTGTTGATGGTTTTCTTTGCTGTGCAGAAATGTTTTAGTTTGATGTAGTCTTTTTTTTTCTTTTGTTTCCCTTGCCCGAGGAGACATAAAAAAAATACATATTACTAAGCGATGTCCCAGAGTTTACTGCCTATATATTTTTTAGGAGTTTTATGTTTTCAGGCCTTACACTTGAAGTCTTGAATCCATTCTGAGTTTATTCCTGTATATGGTGTAAGAAAGCGATACATGCAAAAGAATGAAACTGGATCTGTCCAGTTTTTTCAACATCATTTATTGAATAGACTGTCTTTACCCCACTGTATGTTCTTGCCTCCTTTGTCATAGAATAATTGACCATATAGGCATCGGTTTATTTCTGGGCTCTATTCTGTTCCATTGATCTTTGTGTCTGTTTTTATGCCAGTACCATGCTGTTTTGATTACTGTAGTCTTTTTTTTTTTTTTTTT